ACTTTCTAGTAAATATTTTTATTGGGAGAACGGTTAAAAAAAAGTAATATATAAAAAATTAAAAAGTATTATATAAAAATTTGTTGAATTTTATAATAAAATTTTATTGTGTTTATAAGAAATTAATATTAAAAAAAAAGTTAATACAGAAAGTTGATAGGTAAACCTACCATAAGAAAAAGTTATAGGAATATTCTTTTCTTTTAAAAATTTTTTTAAAAAAACTTTATAAATTAAAAATTAAAATAAAATCTAAGAATATCTGATATCTCATTCCAAAATTAATACCTTTTGATTAAACGATTATTGTAACGTAACTTTAAATGTCGAATCCATAGGAAAACTATATAAAACTAACAAAAATAATTGTCACAATGAAAAATTAAACTAAAAGATGAATTATAAAATTAAAAATAAACATATTTAAATAAAATATGATAATTATAAAGGATTAGAAACGATATTATGATGAACAAAACTTTCGAATTCACTTAATTAATTTGTTTAACTGTTATAAATTTTAATTCATATTTATTACTCAATTGCATGTTTCATATCCCAAACAAACAATCAAAAGATTTAACTTTTAAGACCAATAATAATAACCAATACATTTATTTTGAAAAAAATTAATTTCAATGAAGAACAAATTAATTTATCTTTACGAGTTATCCAAGAGCTTCCAAGAGCAACAATATATCTAATCGACAATACTGTAATAAATGATCAACCCGCAAAACAAATCTATCAATCAATTAAATTCTAACAAATCACATATAAAAGAGCATGACTAATTTTATATAAGATTTGATAAATATAATTTTTAGGATTTTTAAATCTAAAAAATAATTAATAACCCCTCAAAAATAAAATTAAACAATAAAATCCATGAAAAAATTAAAATAAAATAACAAGTCAAACTTCTCAATTAAGATCTTCTCTAGTCTTATTCAAAATTTAGTTAATATTTGACATAATTCTCTAACATTAGAAAAAAAGAAAATAAAAGCCTAAGAACTGTTTCTCTAAATACTAAACCTAATTTGCAAGGCTCCTATTTATATTAGGAATAAAGTAGGAGTGTTTGGTAACTAAGGTAGGAGCCATGGAAAATTAATTTTATTTTTTCTTTCTTCCCGCACAATCTTGTCGAAGAGGGGTTCGAACCTCAACCAGGGTGCGAAACCTGATGTTTCTGTTTTGTGCAACACCGCCCAAGGGTTGGAACCTGGAACAGGTTGCGGAACCCTTGATGCTACTGGAATTCCTTTCGCGCTGGTCACGCCAACTTCACGGAGGTCACGGTAACTTCACGGACTTGGTAACTTTGCTCTTAATCAAATATAGAGAAATTTCACTCTAGCCTTCAAAGTTTCAGATTTATCCTTGGATCCTTATCTTTCCAGTCTTTACATTTAAGTCCTTTTCTTCTAATTCTTCTTCATTTAACATCAAACCTTTAATCATCACAAAATTCACACAACATGGATAAAATGAACACTTATGAAATTACTTATAAGAAAATACAACTTTTAAACTCATAATTCCACAAAAATCATTGGTTAAATATACTTTAAATATACATTTTCATACTTTCATCAATATCATTTTTGTTTTTTATTATTATAATTTTAAAATATATAAATATTAAAATATTCATTACAAAATCTTTAAAAAAATATTTCCTAATAAAGTAAATCAAACACCCCCTGTACTTAAGAGATGAACTGTTAAAGAAAAATGAAGAAATACCAATTTTTATTATATAATTTTATATATTTTTATTAACTTAATTATATATAAAAAATTATATAAACAAAATATATATACACCATTACCTAGCCGCTAAATAGAAGTGTGCACGCACCTGACCCTTGACGCCTAGTGGCATAGCCACGATACATCCCTCTTTCTCCGATAGTGTTCAAAACCTATGCTTGCAAAATATGTTAAAAAAAAAAAAAAGTGTGCACGCCCCCCACCATCTTTGGTGGTCCCCACGAAGTTGATGCTGTGGCTAAAAATTTTATATTTTTCAGTAACCCCATAATTATTAATTAATAATGTCAACTGTCAAGAAAGGAATAACGTGTAAATAAATATATAAAATTGGAGGATGAGATGGTAATTCACGAAATCCAGTTGTAGTTTTGTTTTAATATCAAGCAAGTCCTGAAATTTACTGGGATTCAAGACAAGTAAAAAGAAAGAGGGAGCTTGATGCATCAACATTTTTTTTTTTTTAGTGAGAGGGATTACTTCCACAAAAATTCATAAATATTTAATACTTTTTTGGTCAATTCATTTTATTACTGCCAATGAACTAAGTAGTTCAGTCATCATCTCCTCCTGCTGAAAATAAAAAGTTATAAATTTGAAACACATGACATGCGAATAAAGTGAAATAAGGGATGAGAGATAATTACTTTCCATTGTGCAACCAAGATAAAAAAGAAAAAAATCATTTTATTACGGGTAAAATAGGTGTAACAGACAGAGTAAGATACAGGAGAGAAGCTACTGCTTGAAAGCTTCACTTTCTCCTTATCTTTCTTTTCCTTTCTTTCTTTCTTCTGCATGAAGATTAGTTCTTAAAGCCAAGAAAACATAAAGAAATAGCTTCAACTTTTGTCCAAGCATTATGCTACACTCCTGTAAAACCTGATCCTAACATTAAATAGTTTCTTAATATGGTCTTAACACAAGCCCATTTTCTGATGTGCAAAAGATACAGCATTTTTAATAAGATAGAGGTGGTCAATACATGCGCATGAGACGCGTAGATCTAGAATGGAAGCATTCTAGTCATACAAGAACTACATATTACAAATGCAAAGTCGGAAACTCCTTTTTCTATGGGAGAAAGGTGAGCTAGAAACCCTTTTAATGTAATAAGTTACTTTTCCTAGATAACTGGTAAGCAAGCATTGAAAAAGAATGTATGGATTTAAGATCTCACTTTGTCAAGTCGTGCTCTTATCTCTTCTAACTCTTCCTCGTCATCTGCACCCTCGGCTACTGCATCTTCCTGTGAATATAGGAAAGGTTTAATTTATTAGCTTCTTGAAATACTACATAAAGATGGATGAGAAAGGGGTGAAGTTACTTTTACTTCATGCAAAGTGCTAGCTCCTTGGGGAGGCACTCTCACCGTCTCCTTCCTCACAGCTTCTGGGAGCTGTTCTGCTGTTTCACCAGCTATTTCTGTCAGGACCTTCTCCACTTCTTCTTCAGTTTCCTCCTCAATATCTTCTGGATCCAATGCTGAGTCAACCGCATCATTCACAACTTCTTCAATTACTCCAGCCTACAAACACAGAAATGCATGCATTAAAAGAGAAAGGAAAACAGACACCTTCTAGACAAGCGTTGATGGTTCCACCACTAGAACAAGAGTTTCGGTACTTGTTCAAAAATGCTTACCACTGTTAATTTGAAAATAGATATCGTGGTTAGAGGCATGAAATCACAAAGAATCAAGTCGTAAAGATTGTAATAAATAACGTCTAGGACTATTGATCAAAACCATCAGCCATATATATTCCAAAACAACATCAGCAACTAAATTTATTTCTATGGTTCTGAGCTACTTCCAGCCACAAGAGTACCAAAACTATCCCATCTTGAAGAATAGGTATATGAAACAAAATTACCTTGATCATTTCTTTGCTAAATTCTTGCATTGTAGCTGCTATTTCTGGAGCTTTCATAAGGTTGTTGACAAGCTTCATGACCTCAGCACTCTTAGACAAATGACCAACAGTCCGTGCAATTGCTGCAAACCCCATTCCAGTAAAAGGCAGCATGAGGATTTCCCAGACAGTTTTGAAGAAAAGTTGCTTTTACATAAGAATCCATAGTACCACAATCTTCAATAAACAATTTACTAATTAAAGCTGTAACAAATAAAATCTAATAGGGGAAAAATTTTATTGAAATAAACAGAACAAAAAGGTCGATGACTTGATGCTTCCAAATGTGTCAACAATTGATCAATAAGATAAGTCTGCAAAGCAGCAAAATCTCTATTCTCATAACCTATGAATTTAAACTACTACAGATTTTCCAGAAGAAGATAAAAAAATTAAATAGTTATTTCAGTAATAAATTCAGTTCTTCCAAAATATAATATCATAGTGGAAATAAAACATGCCATCACTGTTCCAAGTTCCAGTCCCATTTTCCATATAACTGTGCTGGATATATGAAACTTGAATGATGGTATTCTTAAGAATAATATAACAAAAAGGGTCAGAGACATGAATTGCCATACCAACACTTTCACCAAGGTGCATTGATATTGAATTCAGCTGTGCTTTATTTTCATAAAGGCGGTTCACAGCTTTTCTTGACCTCACAATTTCTTTTGCAAGTGCCTGACAACATAGAACAAATATCAAACCGTAAAAACATGTAAGAGATGATTTTTTTTTTTCTTGGCCAAAATGATTTCACAATTAAAATGAGCATATGCAATATGGATTGATGTTCCAGCACATGCAAATTCATATGGCTATTACAAACATGCAAGCATGAATGCCAGAAGGAAACAGGTGATTGAACTCAAATGTGATCCAAACATGACGCCTGGAGTGTATAAGTTTGAGTCCACTAGTCTGTTACAGCAAAGAGCTAGACACACCATTCACAAATGGTTCCTTAGCAAGCTGAAACAAGTAATCCTAGAGGAAGTAGGATGAACATAGAATTATACTAAAAAGAATCAGAAATGGTTCTCATGTGTACATTTCCAAAAGACAAAAAAGCACACGATTCTGTTACTACTCTTAACAAGCACCACTGAAAATTGCAGCAATAAGTGAGAGACATATGATTTCAATCCTTGATCTTTGCTTCTCTTTGCAAACATATTATAATAACAAAACAGAAAAAAAAAAAAGAAAAGAAAAAAAAACGAAATATTTATCTTATCTTGTATGAAATGTCTAAGAGATGCAATATATTAAACTCAGCTTCTATGAGATTAAAAATAATAATAATAAATAAAGAAACAAATATCAAGATTAGCATAAACTTAAGTAACTACCTTTGCTGAACCCATGTCATTTCTCTTGGCAGCCTCTGTAATTGCTTTCTGCACACTCTTTTCCTCTCTCTGAACATCTAGAACAAAAACATAAACCATTTTACCACAAATTCAGACACATAACAAAAATTCAACATGCCTTCAACATCATGCATGAACCCAGAAACTTTTATACCCCCAATTTCATGCATAACAATTCAACCCCCCCCCCCCTCCCAAACACACACACATCCACACCCATTAATCCAAACTTCATCCATCCACAATCAATACCCATCAAAAAAACAGAGGACCCAGAAAAGAGAGGACATTAAAAAACAAAACTTGCCTCTGATTTGGCGCTCTATATTGCGGCACTCTTGACGGAGTTTCCGCTGCCAATCTCTCAAGAGCTGTTGAGGGTTTCCTTTGGGTTTTAACATATTCTTAAATTTATCCATCCTAGTTTTCTCTCTCTAGAATCGCTAATACTTTCTCAAGGCCAGAGAAAACACAGCAGGAAAAATTTTGCAAGATTAAAAGTATCTGTGGTTTCTGAAGAAGATGATGGCTTAGAATCAAAGCTTCACTTTCTTTTCCTGAATTTGACAATTTTCTGATCTGTTCTCCTTTTCCGGGTAAATTATTGTTTGTTTGCCCGGCCAAGAAGTCGGAAGATTTCCTATCACCAAACGCTGTCGTTCGGCTAAACCGCGCCCACATGGGCTGACTTAGAATTTTCCCCTCTTTGGTGCAGATGGGCTTAGAATTTTTGCTTATTATGTCTCCTTCTACTTTATTTATTGTCCTTTTCAATTTCACACCCCTATGCAGCATTTAGAAAATGCAAGAAGGAACTTAGAAATATACAATTTTGGGGGTCATTTGTTATTGGAAAATTATTCAATCATGATTTTATCTCATGGTGGCTAGTAGAGTCTCACAATTTAAGTGACATTAATTGCAAGTACTTCCCTTCCCTTGATAAAATGCACTAATTAATTTGTATTAACTTATTTAATGTCATAATTATCGTAGAACCTCATTTTGTAAAATAAAATTGTTGGTAAATTGACTGATTTCAACTTGATACTCACCTCAAATTCATCTTTAAAAAAAAAAAAAAAAAAAAGCCAAAATTATATCTAATTTGCTAATAGTTGAACATTAAACCCAATGATATCCCTTTTCTTAAGAAAAACTCACTAATATTATAGAAAATGAAAAAGAAGAAGTAAAGAAAGAAAGCTCAAAATCAAATGATGAACAAATCTCTCCGAAGTGAGATGTACATATCTTATAAATGCAAATGCTTGCCTTTCAAAGAAAAAAAAATGATGATTCATAAAGAGTCAATTTGCTAATGCAGAACCAAAATCAGAGAAGCAAGTCTTATTAATGAAACAACATAACAAAAAGGCATCTGCTAGGACTTTGGGAAAGATAAGGGTAGTTATGGCTTGAATGTTATAGGACTGCCCTTAACAATATGGCAGAAGGGTTCTGGATTTTCATGGAACCCGGTTCTCATAAGATGATAAAAGGTTCTGAATTTCTGATACAAGAAAATTTTCTATTCATGTTCAGTCAAAACTGCAATCAGTAACTACAGTGGGAATCGGCGAAAGAAATCCTGATCTACTGCTGGTAAGCAAGTTTGCAGAACTTCATACCACCAAAAAATGGTTGAATCAGTGGATGATTTTATTTTATCTATATATATATATATATATATATATTTGGTTATATGAAAGTTCTGTATTCTTCACCAGTTAATTTCCATCCTGCTACTCATCCATTATTTGATTATCTAATCGAAGAGACCCTCATCATGCCAAATATCAACTAGAAAGTCTACCATCTCCTGCACAACCCATGAATCAAGTAAGCTAACATAAGCAATTGCCCAAAAATAATAAACACAAAAAACTAGAACATAGCTAGGAAGTTTTAAATGCTATTGCTTAATCATATGCTCATGTGCTTTATTTATTCAAACAAATGTTAAGAAAGAAAACGTTAGTTCTTACGTATGGAACTCAGTAGCACACTTACCCCTAGAGGGATTGCCTCAGAGAAAGGCTCATTGGTAGAGAGAAGCTCCTCATATGTTGTTGTCCAGCTGCAACACCAAGTTTGTACAGTTATTTTACATGTAGCTGCAGTAACTATAGCATGTAACATTACACCAACTCATCAAGTTAGGTGTGAACAAATTAGTAAGTTTTCTCCATTTTTCTTTTCAGTGTTGATGTTGTGTTTTTCTGTATGTAGTCAGGTGAAGCCAACATAAACACAAATATGTGGTATGAAAGCTCCAAAGATACAAATAAATCCTGAAATCTTCATTCATGAGCTTAACAATAGACTACCCCAAATTAATCACACAGAATAAGCTTCAGGAGAGCAATAAACCTTATAATTGGATCCTTAGTTATCTTTTTTGGCCTTTGTGATTGATCTCCAACCCAACTTTTTCTACTTTCATGCCAAGCACAGGCAGCTACAAAACAGATCCAACCAATTATGTTCAATGAAAACGATATTAGATCTTAACTATATGGTGAAAAGACAAAGGAAATATATACAACCAAATGTACCCTATAAAGAACTGTCACTCACAGTACCAGTATTAAAACCAGAACATTATTTATTTATATCATATGGTGGTAGACCAAAGATGTATCAGGCTGACAAACACAAGCAGATGTCTAAGAAACAACAGCCTACACTGAACCTTTATCAGGTTCCATTGGAAAATATAACTAATTCTGAGTCAATATGATTGCATGTACATTAGGAAACCAAAACACATAACATTTACCTTCTTCCAACCAGGCCAACCATTGTTCCTAGTCATATTTTTCTTTTCTTCTCTTTTTTTTTTTCTCCCCACACCTTTCCTTTGTTTATTAAAATACAGCACTAATAAATGATTACAGGATAACAGATGATAAAAATGATTTCATAGAAAACCCAGATTGTGGGCTACAGTCATAGAAATAACATGCAAGTAAAATTTGTAGCTCTATGTAATTCAGAACTACAGTACTGGATACCATAGATAACCATCAATACCACAATCTCATAGGGAAAAAAAGTGTTATAAATTATAATACCTTAAAACCAAAAAATGGCAGATACGATAATTTTAATAATCTATGTTGCTCCATATTACTTATCAATGAAGAAATTATTCACCAGAGTCACCAAAAGTTGGAAATATCTTTAAAGAATCCTACTATAATCATCTAAAGAGAGCAACTTACCAAGATTTACAAATACAGAAGTGCCTGTATCCTTTTCTGAGGGTATCTTCCCTTGAAGAATAGATACTGAACACTGCAAGGGTTTCTTCTCATTTGGATGGGAATTCCTAGCATTGAACTCAGTCATCTCCAAACTATTTAACCACTCCCTTGTGTAATGTACAATTGTTGTTGCCTAGTGCCCTCGTTTCAAATATTTCCTGATAACTCAGTAATTGAGATACCTACAGAACTCATTAAAAACGCTAGCAACATAAGCTTATTATGGATCATCAATCATGTTTCTTTCCCTAGAGGTTAAATGGTTTTATTCAGGTTGTTCCAAACAGGCAAAGAAGGAACAGAAAGGCGGAGCTGCAGTATAAAGCAGCCCAGCCTAGCATAATTCTAAATGGGAAAGTCTAAATTACCTTAAGAAACAATGCATTAATTAAGCTTACCCCACAACTTGCATGTTAATAGCAAAGATTCATTATTTTATGTCCCTGCACAGAGAAGATTAACACTCATGAAAACCCAAATCATGGAAAGATCAGAAATTTGATTAACCATCAAGCAAAAACACATCTTCTTTGAAAAAAGTCCCAAAAAAAAAAAAAAATTCAGATTGCAAAGAAAAGACTCGTGAAAACAACCCCAGAAGTCAAAAGTTTTTCCCTGGAATTAGCAATGCATTTTTCAATGAAAAGGCAGAAAACAAAACTAACCCTGATGCCGAGAATCAAAGCATTCAAAAGGGCAGAGAAAAGAAAATCAGAAAGCAAGAAAAGGTGGTACCTTGATGTTTGAGAAATAAATCAGGGCAGCATTTGGTTGAGATGTTCTGATTCTGGGAGAGAACGGGAGATTGAAGTCATAAGATTGGATAGAATAATATGATGTTTAGGTGAGATTAGGGGATATAAACAATAAATAAAGTCATTTTCTTGGAAAGTTAGCTGCTTTGTTCGCCATCTCTTCCTGGCTTCTCAACATTTCTTCTCTCTCCTCCACTCCTCCAGTTTTGCCCCTTCTTGTCCCTTCCTCTGACGTGGATCTGATTTGGGTTTTAGACTTTGTGGAGAGAATTTTTTTACAAATTTATATATAACTCATGAATAAATAAATCAATTAGAAAATATAACACCATGTACCATGAATCATTACACTAGCAAATATTGAACTTACTATATATAATTTTTTAATAAGTTACGATAAATTTTATGTATTTATCACACTTTCAGATTTTAGCGATCTTGAGTAGAGTGCATGAAACTATTAGCAAATATTAAAATTTTACTTTTTATGATAACAATCAATTTTTTTTTTTTAATTTTTCATGTTCAAAACAAAAACAAAAAAATCTATATATTTAACATCTTATTAAAATTGTTAATATCTATTTAAATAATTTAATAGTAACATTTGCTATTAGAAGAAAAAGAGCTTTACTTTTGAGTTTGAAACTTTGAATAGCAATATAGCATAAATGTGATTAGATGTGTGTTTTAATAAAAAGAAAGAGAGAAAAAAATAAAGAATTATCTAATGAAACCAAAATTAAAAAAAGACATTATCAAGATTAAAAAGATAATCCTTTATTGGATAATCAAGAATAAGTGTTTCTTTTACGTGGTGGTAGGTGGAAGGTTAAACACGAACGATAAAAAGATGCTTTCTGATGATAGATAATGATTGTCATTGACTGTTGGACCTTAGATCGGCACATAAGATTTTTTCCTTTAAATTTGAAGCCTTGGTCATAACCCGACCTTAGCTCAGTTGGTAGAGCGGAGGACTGTAGTCGGGAATTGCCCACAGCTAATCCTTAGGTCGCTGGTTCGAATCCGGCAGGTCGGAATTTTTCATCCGTATTCTTTTTTCTTTAAAAAAAAAAAATAATAAATAAATCCTTGAACCGGATTTTTCAAAGGCCCAGTACTCTTTTCAGACTGTTGATCCTTTAAAGTATATATAATACATGGCAAGTGGCCTTTCGAATCAAGTGATTTTTTGTTATCATGAGGTGTATTGTCTTTTTTTTTTTTTTGATAAGTTAGAACTTGTCCTATGATAATATTGTTTAAAAATATATATATATATATATATATATAATATATGGATCGAATGTGGCCTGGGTTCTCATTTTCTGAGTTCAGCTTACCCGTTCTGTTCTATTTTCCTACCACTATTATGTTTCAATGGCCGCAACACTTTCAAAAAGAGTGGTAACACTTAAAACTCTAAGATTCAAGCCTTCACAATCTCCATTCATAAGCTTCCAATTATACTAGTACTAGTTCAAAAAAGCTTCTTACTGTTTTCTTCTTTTACTGTTTTCATACTTCAGTAGTTCAGTTGGCTATGTTCTGTTTTCTTTCCACCTGCTCTCAATTAGAGGAATTTGCCAGAAAGAACTAGGGCAATTTTTTAACTCTCTTTTCCATGAATAAGCTTGCCAATTTTGGATAGAACCATTCATTACCTTGGGGAGATTACCAAGCACAGTCATGCTGAATTGGCGGTTGATTTAGGCAAGGGTGAGATAATGGTATCAAAGGTAGCGACGGATACAACAGTAAAGTTATTTTAAAGAGCATTTCTTTTGACATTATGAAAACAATTATTAATTATTAACTATAAATAAATTAAATGTTATAAATTATAAATAACAATAATTATAGAAACATTGATATTAATTACATTTATACTGTTAATCAAAAAACCCCTCTAATATTTTTGTTATCATTTATATAATATTTTAATTGCTAGTAAATTAATTTGACTTTCCTTAATCTTATAAATTTATTTTATTAATTAATCTTTGGGAGATCAGAGTTGAACAGCAACCGCCGAAACCATGGTGTTCATTCCACACATGCCATGGCTCCGGCAAAGCCGGTAGTATCCATTCTCTCCCCACCTTTTTCCCCATGAATTCTTGACAATCCAGTAAGGCTGATTTCCTAACCGAAGGATCGAAAACCCCTTCTTACCGTACCCTACCAATAAGACCCCATGGTTGATAAACCTCTTGGAGCAGATCAGCGGACATGACACGCCGCCAATGTAAGTTTGCATGAAAACGGCATTCAAACCAATTGCTAATGGACCGCGTAGGACTAGATTGGCTGCAATTTGGTTTTCGTCGATGGAGATGTTGGTAAAGTTGGAAACTTTAACTGCTACTTTTTCTGATTTAAATTTGCATTCGCCACGCTTCCCGGTGTAAAGGTAGGAACTCTCCTCCTCTAAGCCGCCTACCGTCGTCACGTAATTGTAGGCGTTTGTCATGAGTCCGCCACCGCAGCCGTCGTCGCATGCTCTTCTCTCTCTTTTGTCACACTTGAGGAAAATGAAAACACAAAAATGATTAAATAACGCACTACTGTTTCAAAGTTTTGAGGACGGAGCTGCAAAAAAATAAAAAGGGGAGGACTAAAATCATGAAGGTTGAGAACTTATTACCATGTGATCGCAGTCTACAAGTTGCTGTTCGCTGAGATTGAGAAGTTTTCCGGTGGCTACGAAAGTAGCTCCCTCGACGGCCCCGGTGGTGCTAAAAGCCCAGCAAGATCCACAGGCGCCCAGCATCTTCACCTCAGTGACGGCTCCCTTCTCTCTCCAATCAAAACTATCAGGCAACCCATCAACCTCCAACGGCGCCGTTACTTCATCACCCTCAACGCCTTTCATCGACTGGAACCCACCGCCGCCCTTCACCCCAGTATACATCCTCTCGAATTCCTCTTCTGACAGATCAGAGAATTGCGTGACTCCGTGCATCGCCGTTGGATCGAGCGCCTGATGTTCTGCAGCCCTGATGATGTTCCTGGAGAAGATCCCGAGGCGGTGAACGTACTCCTCTCTTGTAGAGTAATTCTTCCCGAACTGCTCCATGAAGATCTGAAACTCTCCTTCGGCATTTCTAGGGAGCTTTTGATTGTCTGTGACTTGGATTATGGTAGGTTCTTCTGCAAAGTCGTGATGATAGTTAGGATTACTGTGGCTCCATTCATCTTCTCCGGCGGGGCTTAATTTTGCATTTCTGGAAACACACGAATAGAAAAAGGCAAGAGGTATTCCGGTGAGTAACGGCTGCATGCGGAGATTTCTGTAAAGAGTTTGACACGTGGAATTGTAGGTCCAACATATATGTCCACGTGTTTGCCATGCAGGATTGTTTAGTGGCAGTGTCATGGCTCCAATGGGTCAAAGTCTGAACATCGGTTTGATGATGCGGATCCAAACTAAAAGTTCAGTCCATTAAATCCAGTAAGCATTTGGGCCTAGCAGACGGTTCTCTACACAGCTTCGTGTCAGTGTCAATTGCCACTCATCCGAAGGAATGTCTACGTGTCGGCAAAGTAAATAAAGTCTTTTTTTTTTTTGACCAGATAAATTGTTAGGAAGTTAGTAGAGTTACTTTGTTAGCAGCTAGAATTTTTCCAGAAAAGTGAACTTCCACCCTCTCATTTGAGGGGCGCGACCATTAGGTCGCAAGTTGGTGGAGTTCACGGCGGTAGCAGAGTTCGAAACCCTGACCTCTACCACACCCAAGTCCTAAAGCTTGGGAGTCAACCAATTGGACCACAGGCCAGTTGGCAAGTAAATAAAGTCTTAAAGTTATAGTACTACAAAATTTTTATTTTTTTTTATTTTTTGCACTTGCGACCTTAGTCACGATGGCAATACATTAAAATTTTTGACTTTTTTGTCAATGATTTAAACTGTCAATATAATAATATTATAATTATTTTTTCTTTTTTTAAATTTTCACTGGTTAAAAAAAAAAAATTTTTTTTTCAACATCTCCGGATGAGATTTAAATTTCACACGCCAAATAAAATATATGAGAAGTCACTTAGAAGAGAGATAGTCAAATAATATGCATGAAAAATCTCTTGAAAAGAAAAAGTAGTTGCAAAGTCACAAAAACGCTATTTCTAATACTACAAAATTTACTACATTAAAATGTTTAGAAAATTGTTACTCCTATTATAACAAAAGCATATTAGGTGGGGTAATCATGACTGATAATTTTAAATAAAAGTTTAGAGTTTAGAATTTAGACTCCATATAATAATATTTTTTACATATATTTTGTACACAATATTTCATATAAAAAGATAGATTTTTAATTTTAAAATTTTAATAAAATTTTTATAATTCATTAATTTTAATTAATATTTTATATATTTTTCAAATAATAAAAATAAATAAAACTTACAATAATCCCAAATAAAACTTTAATATTCATATTTAACGAGCAAGTTGGGGCGGCGGTGATGGAACTTCTAAACACTCCAGCTAATAGGAAATGGAACGGGTCTCCCAAAGCATAAAACAATTTTCTTGCCTTAGTTAATAAGGAAAATGTTGGTGAGGACGTTGATGTATTGATCGTGACCATTGAAAATTTTTGTTTAATTTAAGATCGGCATCAGAATTAATCAACTCCGTCCAGTTATTGGTTTAGCGGTGAAGAAAAGTCGAGCGCCTGTCTCCTGAGCCAGCAGCACCTTAACTGCCCATCTAATATGACACCCACCAACTAGCCTTCCTGTGGTCAATGTTTACCTCTCTTTTTTTTTTCTTTTTTTTTTTTTCATAATATTACAATGGCTTTACCTTCCCCAGTAATTGGGATATATGTTAAAAGTTTATTAATTATAATATTTATAAGTAAATTTGTATAAATTTTTATGTTAATTTTTTTAAAATAAATTTTGGGTATAAATATTATATTATATTTTATATTTTATATTTTATTTTAATTAAATTTAATATACAAATTTATACAAATTTAATTATAAATACTACATTAATGAAACTTAATCTTTACCTAAAAAATTTCTATTACAATTTATATATTTATCTCGATCAATTTGACTAATATATTTATTAATTATCTCATCCATATGCATTGAGTAAGTTTTATTTTTAAATATGATAGATACATAAAATCTTAAATTTTTATAATAAATTATATAAAACAAAATAACTCTTCATTTTTTAAAAAATTTCTTTTTACGTGATTCAAAATTTAAAAATAAAATTTTTAATTTAAAATATCAAACTTTTAATTAATTAAATTATTCATTTAGATCTATAATAATATTAAACTTGTTTGTATATACCTAAATTATGTTATAGGAATTTAAATCTATATTTTCCATAAAAGGAAAAAAAAAAACAAAATTACTTGAAAATGGACAATATTAGTCAATCATAATGGCTGATTATTTGCTACATTATCGACAAATAATAAAAAGTAATGATCTGATTAATGATGCATTTGTTATGCATTGTAGATTGGAAAAGACTTATGTTATATGTTTGGTGAGGACCTGGTTTCATTGTGCTTTGGTTTGCTTTTCCATTAGACTGCAACCACCTAAGAGGAAATTTCCAGGCGACCCTACCGCACCTTCTTCATTCTAAAATTTACAACTACTACTATAATTTTAAAGAAAAATTAATAAGAACTTAATTTAGTTTGTATCAATTAATTTTAAATTTTTTATTGAAGATTAAAATTAAAAATTTAAATTTCTATAATATTAAATAATCAACCTTTTGATATATATACCAAAAACAAAATAATTATAAAGGAAAAGGAGACAGAAATTTGGGATTAAGATTTGTATAAAAAACAATAAGGATAACACAAATTTATACTAATGTAATTCTTTATTTAATTTTCAACCATCCATTTTAAAATCAGATTATAACTTCAATAATTGTTTTTTTTTAAAAATATATCAAAGGATTAATTATTTGATATTAGCTTTAAATTAAAATTTTAAAATTAAAAAATATTAATTCAACTAAACTTTATTAATATATCTTCAATAATTGTATCGACATGGTCTACTTGTCATTTTTCCGTTATTTAATGAGTGAGTTTGGCCAACAAACATTTATATAAACACTTACTTAATGTCACATAATTTTTACAATTTTAAGTTTGCCGTAGTAAAAAAGGATTAACAAAAAAGAATTCTGAGTTCTATTTTTTGGTGAACTATGTTGATTCCATTTTCAAAGTTGACATGGACTTCTTAGAGAAAAAAACGAAATTTGTAGGTTAAATATGATAAAAAGAATAAAATTCAATATATATGTTTTATCATTAAAAAATATTAAAATATTTAATTATAATTATTAAAAATATAAAATATAATACAATTCATAATTTTATCAAATTTATTATGTGATTTAATTTTTTTATTTTCCAAAATATAATAGCAAAATATTAAAGTGCATTCTGCTTTTTCATGAATTATTACTAGTTGCAAGTAGCGTAGGCTACCCACCACCTTGCAATATTCCGAAGGTCTCGTGTGATATTATAATAATAATAATAATAATAATAATAAGAAAGTA